ATGTAAATTAGGTACCGTAAGTCTAATACAGCACTAATTTTATACATTTCTTGTGAAAGAAACACTTCTTATTCAACGTCCATAAAAATTATTTATATTAATGATGTCTCCAAAGGTCAAGTTATTTTTCCGCCAAAAATTCGTTATCAGAAATTGCGGCCGTCGTTTCGCGTGCTGTTCCGCGATGAAAACCAGCTTTAAGCAACGGCGTAGTCGAACGGTGTAAGTAATCCTACAATTTTTTGTTTATAGCATAGTTTATACAGATTATTCCCAAAAAATTATACGTATTTTGGAAATGTTGAGTGGAATTAGTCTAGAATCGGTTAATTTTATAGAAGAAAACCTTTCGAACAGCCTTAGACCGTAAAGTTCCCACCTATCGGGCTGTGATTGGCTCATTCCTACAACGTAATTTTCGGTTAGCGTGGAACGTATCTAAGCGTTATAGGGGGGTCTACTGTATTAAAATCTCTTTTACCTATGTAAAAGAGATTTTACTATTCCTTAAATATTACTGGGTATATACAGGTATTCCTTGCTTAATGCAGATTTGATTAATGTGCAAAATTAATTGCAGCAATCCCTTTATATATGCAGCAGAAGTTTTAATTAGCATAGATACTGTATTTCATTAATTATGTCAATCAAGGGACTAAAATGATTGCAACTAAAGATGGGACTATTCAAGTGCAATTGAGAAGTTTGAGAACTGTTCTAATGCAAAAAGTTGTAGTTTCCAAGAATTTATACTAGATATTTGAATACTTTTTCAGATGTGATCCTAGTTCATACAATAGTGAACATTCCAATTTGAGTACCTAAACCTAGTGTTTTGCTCTGCTGTTGGTCTCTTACTGAAATATGATTAGCATTTCCAAGTTGTGTATCTGGCTTCTCGAGAAATTTTCGTGCTCTAATTGATAATTACAGAGATCAAAATTAATAATCAAAATATTAATCAACTTGTTTTCAAATATTCAGTACTAGTCAGTTATTAACTACTCCAGCAAATTGACAGCATTGTGTCATTGAATTACATTTGTTGCTTGAGTTTCTGAGAACCAAGTTTTCAATGGGTCCATCTTTGGTACATGTGAGGCCCTGGGCCAAGAAAAGCTTGGAGGCCCCCTTAAGGAATTCATAATGGAGGATTAATGTTCATAAATTTTTTCAATTAGCTTTCTCTGCTAAACATATTGTTATATTATGTTTGATAAATTTTATTAAACATAATCTTTTGATTGTTTATAATAATTTTATTAATTGTTGCTCTGTTCAATTTTGCATATTTTTGAGGTCTCAAATGCTTGGAAGCCCAGTTTTCAAAAACATCTTAAAATTTGAATATAAATAGTGAGATCCATATATTTGGGATTTCTAAAGTAGGTTTGTTACAGGATTCTAATGTAGATACAGTATATATAATGCTTTCCAAATGAAGATAGATTTGCACTCAAACACATTGTTTGATTAATGATGTTTTGGTCCATAAAGGAATAAGATCATGATCCAATATATTTTTAGATAATTCTGTGATATGTTTGCTCTTCTCAATATCCCTCTGATGTTCTATCAGACAACATAAAAGTTTTCTGTTTGTAGCACCTATATTATATTGCCTTGTGTCTGTGCTTGTTTGTAATGACTGATATTTTTTCAATATTAGAGAAGTCAGGCATTTATATGATCCATTTACAACAAAGTAATCTGTATAATGGTGGCTGAGGCTTGATTGGGAGTATAAGACCATATTTTTAAAAACCCTTGCAATTCGTAATGTTAAGTATGGAATGGATGGGCTTGCAAATATTAATTTTTCATTTCTGTTGTGGGAGGAAAGAGGAACTATAACCATGACTTTTGATGTAACAGAATAAATAATTTTGAAATTCATTTAATTACAGAAAATTAGTTTCTAAATCAGCAATTTTTCATTATAAGTCTAAGAAGTTGAGAGATCCATTAAATCCTTGATTTACTGTTATTGATTTTAGTATGTGTGGACTATTTAATACTGTTTATTTTGAAAAGAAGTGTGGATTATAAGATTATAAGGACACTTTTTTTTGAAGAGTTAAAATTTCTTGACTTTTTTCCCAATTCATTTTTAAGGTTTTGATAATTTAGAATGCCACTGAGACAGATAAAAACAATTAAAATTTATTTATTACATTGAAAGACAAACTATACAAAAAGCATTTTCTTGAGAGACTTACAAACATACAAGGTTTTTCATAAAATACCTGCAATTAAAAAACTGAAATATAGTTAACATAATTTGAAGGTTTAATAATTATCATTAATTCATTCAATAGTATTTGCAATATGGTCATTAACAATAACATTTATCAATTACTTGTATTTCATGCTAGATAATCAATTACGTTGAAATGACAATTGATTTCAACATGTGGCTGATAATGTGAAAAGACATCTAATCTTATAAACTTACTGACCTGAAGATATGTCCTAAAACATATCATCAGAATTAGTAAGTGATAACAATAAGCAAATTTTACTGTATACAGGGTGACAGACTACCCATACACCCCTTTTCAAATGAAGGGAAGCCAGCTTCATTGAAATTCCTAAAAATGTTGCTAAGTAAATCATATACACTCTCGAATGTTGATATTTTAAACTTCATATTTTTTAAATGTTGCATCAAAAAAATACCAGAAATGACTATCCAGGCCAAAAGTTGAAGTTTAATCCAAATTAATTATTTTTTTTAAGACAATTTTTTCTGAAAACACCTCCATTAATCATAAAATGATCTTGAAATTGTGATGCAAAGAATAAAATAATTAATATATATATATTATGTAATAAAAATATTTTGTGACATTATGTTATACAGTCGACCTCCCCTATAACACGGTAGATACATTCCGTTCTTTATGAATCCATTTTGTACGAGTCCTTGCCAATCACAGCCCGGCACGTATGCACTTTACGGACTACTGCTGCTTGAAAGGTTTTCTTCCATAAAATTAATCGATTCCTAGACTAATTCGACTCAATATTTCCAAAATACGTGTATTTTTTTGGGAATAATCCGTATAAACTATGCTATAAACAAAAAATTGTAGGATTACTTACCAAGTGTGCACCATTTGACATTGCCATTGCTTAAGCTTGTTTTCGTCGTGGAGCAGCGCACCAAACGGTGGCCGTGATTTCTGATAAGTTATTTTTCTGCAAAAACTTCGTTGAACTTTGGACACATCATTAATATAAATAATTTTTATGGCCGTTGAATAAGAAATGTTTCTTTCACAAGAAATGTATAAAATTAGTGCTGTATTAGACTTATGGTACCTAATTTATGTACTATACAGACGATAGTAAACTCAACTTACTCGCCTAAACTCTCCGTAGTGTGGCGCTGGACGGTGGAAAGTAGTTCGGCTGCCCGATGACGTTTTACCGAATTATAGGAGTTTTTTTACCATGTTTGTACGGATACCATTGCAATTTTTTTGCCGTCATATAGGAATCCGAACTGTAGGAACCTGTGTTATAGGGGGAGTCGACTGTATATATATAACAGTAAGAAAATATATCTTAACATATCACTGATGTAGGCAAAACATAAAAAAATGTTGCCACAATAATCATATGTAATTAATTGATGCTGAACTAACAGAAATAGTTACTACTGTTACATAGTATTTTTGTTCATGTAAAAACTCTTCTGGCATAATCTGTTGACACTGATTTTAATTGTTTTTGATCAAAATATTCAAACTAAGCACTGTTCTTACCAAAGCAAGCATCTATTCTGCTTGAAAAAGAATTCATTGCTAAAAGAACTTTGTAGGACATGATTACATAGACCACTGACACCTTTGATATGCAGTAACTGTAAATGTAAATGTTTACATCTGTTGACATTGTCACAATATTTTTCAGTTGGCTGAATATTCAAAGAAGTGGCTTGTAATAAGGTTTTGTCAAGAAGGAATGTTCATCACACTTTCAACATCATTTTACAGTCAATGGAGGTAATTAATTTTTTCTGAAACATTTTATTTTTTTAGATTTTGATTAAATTTTAAAAAATACTGTGTTCTGACTAAAAATTTCAACTTATAGTATTGGCTGTAAATGGTGTTGAAATGTTGAAAGTGTGATGAACATTCCCATGCCAAAAGTTGAAAATATGAGATAGTATTTGACAGAGCACACTTGATTTGCTTATCAAAATTTTTACGATTTTTGATTAACCTCACTTTCCTTCATTTTAAAAGGAATGATAAATCAATTTTTTGTGTAAACAAAATGTTATGAGGTTTCTTAAAAGTTCTTTTGGATAAAAAGAGAAAAATCCTCTGCAGACTGGACTGTTCTGTAACCCAAAATACTGAAAGAATTGGATTTTTTGTAATTTAACATAATATACACCTGACAACAAAGTTGAAACTAAACTTGATCAAAGTTGATACATTACACCCAACATAATGATGATGATAGATATTTAAAGGCCTTGGAGATCTTTAAAGCATGTCAGTTAGACAACTGTGTTAACCATAAAAAGACAAAATACAAATTTTGTAAGCATGGCAGGCACACTTTGATCCAACTTAACACCCTACTCCTGCCTATTTCCACCTTTGCATTCCTGGTTGGTTCAGTCATATTTATAACCTACAGGGGTCATGCTGGAAAAACAGCAGAATGTCATCACATCACACAGAAAGTAGGAAGTGACATTGAGAACTGAAGGCAGTTTTTATGCAATGCCATATAACATTTCCAGGCCGGGGAATTTTTGGGGTAAAATTTTTTCACTTTGATCTTTTTTTCAGTAGACTAAAGCATAAAAATTTTGACATGACAGAACATGTGAAATACTACTAAAAAATTTGATCATAATGCTTAAATTAATAATTCCAAATAATACAAATAGGAATCATTTTTGAATAATGTAAGTGACAGCTTAACATGTTACTTTTGCTTTCCAGACTCCAAACTGATAAGGCTACCAGCACCTGCATTAAATTTGAAGTGGCAAAAAACTTTTAAAATCAACCATTTTGCTAGTTTTTTCTTTTATAAATTTGAACAGATTATGAAAAAATTCTGCAGAATTTGAATTAAAATTTAAATGGTTCAGGGGTCACCCTGGAAAATTTAAATCTTTAAACCTGTTGTAAATGTTCATATTCTGTTAAAATATTACACTACAAAACAACTTAAGTCCTCTCAGTAGCTTATTTTGGAGAAATGGGAATATGTTTGTGTAGTAAATATTGATGCCATGTCCAATAATGATTCATTCTGATAAAAAGTTAATCTTGATTTCCAAAAATTAACTATTGAAGATAAGAAAAAATTTATATTACAAAGTTGAAAGTTGTGTGTCTTTGCATATGTAGACTAATGAACATCAACTCCACTTTTTTGCTGGGAAAGATCATAACTATGCACTAAACAAGTTGTTTCAAATTTACAAAATATGATTTTTGAAATATCTTGTTCAACAGAAGTAAGTATATGGGAATATGAAACAAATTAGTTTTAACACATATATATTTTCATTGTATTACTATTAAGCTGTACAAGACAAGTTCATCAATTCATAGCTTTCTGAAGGAAGAGATATAAAAATAGTTATAATGATTATGTATCACAAAAAAAATATTCTGAAGCATACAGTTTTATGATTTTTATTAAATAATAAAATAGCATACAGTAGATCCTCTATAAAACGGGTTCATATAATATGGATTTGTATATAACAGCAAAAAAATTGTGATCGTATTTGTATAAATACGCTAAAAGAGACTCATATAATATCGTAAAATGTCATCGCCAACTCATGTCATGACAAGATTGGTCGAATCTAGACCAATAGCAGATATTGCACAAACCGTGGACCTACTAAAAACCATTTGTTATTTAATGTCCATAAAAATTATATTTATATTAATGATGTCTCCAAAATTAAGTTATTTTTCTGTGAAAAATTCACTGATCAGAAAAAATGCGCCTGCTGTTCAACACGCCACTCCGCGACGAAAACAAGTTTAAGCAATGGCTTCTTTGAACGGTGCACACTCGGTAAGTAATCCTACAATTTTTTGTTTATAGCATAGTTTATACTGATTATTCCCAAAAAATTATACGTGTTTTGGAAATGTTGAGTCAAATAAGTCTAGAATTGATTAATTATATGGAAGAAAACCTTTCAAACAGCCATAGTCTCTAAACTGCACATGTGCCAGGCTGTGATTGGCTCATGTATTTAAGTGATCGTAAAACACGCATTCATATAAAATGGAACCTATCTATTGTATTTTGTTCAGTAAATCAATAAACAATAATTCAATGTTATTTTAAAAAATTATTATAACAGATCAATTTTCATTGAGTTAGTAGTCATCTTCCTCTAAAAATACTTTTGTAAATTGGCATTAAGGTAACAGAAAAATTAGTTTAAACATACATTAATTACTTACTAAATTTTTTCTATATAATTTCCAGGAAAAGTTCCAAATAATCCAGTACGCATAGATGTTCCCACAAACCATCCATCATCACATTTCTCTACAACATATACTACATCCCCCTCTTTTAACTCCAGTTCATCATCATTTTGTGGCTTGTAGGCATATAAGGCTTGATAACTAAAAAATAAGTTAATTTTTATATAACTCAAAAATAATGAATACAAAATTTGCTATTATTTTACATAAAATAATTGACAATGTTTCAAAATACATATAGTTAGAAACTGGTTTGAGTGTTTTTGTATACATTTAGACTTATAAGCATAGATTTATCTATATATAGATGCTTGGGTACATGAAAAATCATTTTAAAATTTTTAGAAAAGAGTCTAGTTCAGTGTAGATTAAATAAACCCCAAGAACAAAAACATCATTACAAAATGCATATAATAATTTCCTAACCTGGCAACACTTTTCATGCAGTGAGTAACCATTACTTTTGAAAATTATTTGATAACTAAGTATAGCAGATTCCTGTGTGGATATGTAACAATGTGGATATGTTCTGCATTATAGGAAATCACATTATATGAGACATGCATTGTCAGACAATTTTATGCAAGTTTAAACTTGTTTCTGAGTTCCAGCACTGATTGCATATTGCTAATGAGATATCTATCTATCTATCCCATTGAATGCGTGTCCGTCCATCCACGTAATGGTATGCCAAAAACGGGCACTAGAGGCACCCTAGCGATGATTTTAAATTAACAATAAATTATTATTATTTGTTTCTGAGTTCCAGCACTGATTGCATATTGCTAATGAGATATCTATCTATCTATCCCATTGAATGCGTGTCCGTCCATCCACGTAATGGTATGCCAAAAACGGGCACTAGAGGCACCCTAGCGATGATTTTAAATTAACAATAAATTATTATTATTTGTAATAAGAATTATTATTTGTATATACTATATATATATATATATATATATATATTATATATTTGTAATAAGAATTTATTATTGATATGAATTTATTATTTATACCTTGATCCTTATGCTGCACGTTTACAACATCCCGTGACTCAGTGAACGTCGCGCATTGACTCACAGGAAATTTGTTGAAAAAATGGCAGATACATTTAAAATCGAGGTTTACGAGCAAAGGTAAATAAACAAATTAAACTATTTTAAAGTATTTATAGAATGTTTAATAGGAAGAAATGTAGATCCATATGACGCGATTGGGACTTTAATAGAGCTGTAGAGCATATTGATAGAAACAAAAAAGTCAAAGGAACCGTGCCTCATGGGAATTTGTAAAGAACGCTCACTAAGGGGCGTCCGGGCTACTAGTTTGAAACTAATTCACATGATTTTATTGTTTGCAATGTGTTAATTAACTTGTTTTGAAGAAGCTTTCTTTTTATAAAGGAAAAAACAAGTACAGTATAGATATATAATATTTTTAAAAATTTATTTAAGAAACATTTGCTAATAGTGGTATAATTTATGTTTTATGTTTTAACCATGCATACTGGAAGAAAACATATAACCTCTAGATGATACAATTAGAATTTTGTACAGTAAACTCTCTTATAATATGATGAAAAAATTGCAAATACTTGTAATACTTGTACAAATTTCTATAGTTTAATTTTAGATGTGAACATAGCAGAATAAAAACATATATGAATCTACTGTGTATACAGTAGGTTCAAACTGCCAATAGAGTAACATTGAATGATGGAAATGTCATATTGATAAAATAATGCAGAATTATATATTGTAAGTATATTTTGAAACACTTTTTACTGAATATCATCAGATCATAGTAATCTATTAGAAAATAAATTAATACTTCTTAACATAACCATAGCCAAGAGGCCCAATGGATCTGGGTCCCTTGAATGTTTATAAATTTTTCCAATTTCTAACAAAAAATATTGAATTAACTTTCTCATATATTCCAATATAATTGTAAAAAACGATGGAGTCAGATATCGCATGGAGAATCAACACAAAACAAAAGAACAGAATGATACAGTTCACAGTATCAAACAGCTTGCTTAAACTCATCCTCAGTTGGTGATGTTCTAAAACAAATCAAATTCTAGTTTAATTCATGTAAATACAAAAGATATTTCAGGTATTGTATTTGACATTCCCTTTTGAGTTTACCATTTTGTTTTTCTGTAGTTTGCTTCTATGCAAACATTTCATGTCAGTGATTTTACAATATAAGATATGATAGGAAAGTTCAAAGAATTTATCATTGTTTCCTTTTCTAATATATAAAAAATATCTATTGTCAATACTACTAAATTGATAAATTTAAAATTAATGATTGAGTGAAATTATTACCATTAAAATTATCTTAAATGATGATGATGTTATAAGTTAATTTTGAATGATATTTATTATAAAAGTTTTAAGTTAAATTTTAAAATTTGAATATAACTATGAGGAGCATTGCTCAGACTATACATCCAGTCTGTAAAGACAGGATAAATTACATTTTCAGAAGATAAGATAGTGGTGTTTTGCCAATTGAATCATGGAACAATAATAAATGCAGATAGGAATTCTGAGACCTTTAAAAAATTATAACAAGTTATTCAAAACAAACCATAAGGACAACAGAGTTTTGGTATTATGTTACTTCACAACAATGCATAAGCAAACTGTTGACCAGTTCTGCTGAAAAATATTCCATCACTCACTTTATAACCACAATGCAATTGCAACTGTTTCTGCATTTGAAGACATGTTTAACAGTGAATTGACAGCTGGTGACAGATATCAATAAAGAGATAAAAAAAAGCTTGTGCTCTGATATGAAAAGCAGGTAAGTACATATGTGAAATTTTGACAATAAAGAAATGACCACAAAAGATACAAATAAAACATTTTGAACTATTGAAAATTGCTTTCCAAATGCACCTCATATTAGTAAATTAAGAGGAAAATCATTGATAAAGGTCAGATAATGGGATGAAAACTGGCCCAAAAGTAGATGTCAGCAAATGATTAATTACTATTCAATATTGGAGCATATTTTTTGAGATTAAAAATTAAAAAGTCACATTTATATACATAAAAATATTCTGTGTGTCAATTCAAGTAAGTAATTAACGATCTTAAATTTAATCTCGAAAGCTTAGCAGAAGAAAGTATGAGAAGATTGTTTCAATTTTTCATCTAATCTTGTCTGAAAGAAAAAGAATATGATAACACTATAGAATTATATGAAAATATAAAAAAACAGCAGCAAAGGAAGTTGTAGGACAAGTCAAAGAATTTGGAAAAACTTTTAAAAAATTCTGGAGGGACAAAGAGGTAGAAAATATGATACAACAAAAATAAAAAAACTTAGAAAATCAACAAAAAAAAATTAATTCTGGAAAAGAAAAGATTGGGTTGGGATAGAAATTGTAGAGAAATAGAAACATATATAGGAGGAAGAAAATGCACTGAAGCATGGAAATTTATAAAAAATGTTAGAAATGAAAGTAATAGTAATAACGGACAGTTTATCTCAGTTAAACAATGGGAAGAATATTATAAAAATTTATTAACAGAAGATATAATTCAATTTATGACAGAAGATATAAACATAGAAAAAGATGTACCAATTCATTTAGAGAGAAAACAGATTAAACAAGCATGTAAGAAACTGAAGAATAATAGAGCAAGTGGTCTTGGAGGAATACTAGCAGAACTGATAAAAAATGAAACAAAAATTATTTAGAATGACGACAAAATTATTTGAAAGGTGTCTTAATGGAGAAGACATTCCAAAAGAAATGTCAAAAAGCCAATTTTCCAATCTATAAAAAAGGAGGCAAGCAAAAATGTGAGAACTATCGAGGAATTACAGTAACAGCAACATTTAGTAGATTATATGGACAAATAATAATAGATCTAATTGAAGACGAATATCAAACAAAAGAAAAAGAAGAGCATAGTGGATTCAGAACAGGAAGATCATGTATGGACAATATTTTCTATATAAAATAGATTATGAAAAAAAGATCAACAAATAAGTTTATAAATAGCAACAGGACAGGAGACTTAACAAAGACATATGATAATATCCCAACATCAAAACTATGAGAGACATTAAAAGAGAAATATTAATAGCACACTTATTAAAGCAGTTAAAGAATTTTATTTTTGTTATGGATTTTCTATATAAGTTGGAAGAAAAATATCAAAAGGACTAAGACAGGAATGTTGTATCTCACGAACTTTAAAATCTACATAGGAGGAGCATTGAAAATATGGAAAAACAAATGTTGTAATATTGGAATAGATATTAACGGTAAGCCTATGTTTACATTGCAATTCACAGATGATCAGGAATACATGTCAAGAAAAATAAAAGGAGTATTTTAAAGGAGATTTATATATAAACATGAGTAAAACAAAATTTTTATGCTTAGGAGGGAAGGAGAAAAGATTGAGGGATGTGAGCATTACAATTATCTTGGAATACAAATTCATCAGAGAGCAGTTAAAAGATTAAATGGAATATGGTGGAGTGAAGAAATAACTAGATCAAGAAAAAAGTATATAATGCTATTGTTAAAAGCATTCTATTATATGGAGCAGAGGCATGGAGAATGACTGGGGAAGAGAAGAGAAAAGTAACATTCGTTGAAATAGATGCATTGAGAAGATTGTGCAGAATCTTGATAAGAGAAAGAATAACTAATGAGAGGATCAAAGACCTAATGGGATTGAAGGAAACAACTTATTTGGTTTGGATATGCGAAAAGAATGAGTGATGGGAGACCTCCGAAAATGTCAATGGAAAACATTCCACAAAAAAAGAAAGAGAGGAAGACCCAGGCAAACTTGGTATGATGGAGTAAAGTTAGCATGTAGTGAAAACAGGATTAAAGAGGAATGGTGTGTGGATAGAGAGAGATGAAGAGGGTTCCTGGAGGTTGGAAGGCAATGTCAGACACCATATATTGAATATAGATAGACATAGAGTACTATAAAGATTCATAGAAATTTTTGAAATTGTCACAATGTTCAGTTTTCATTTGAATTTTGTGCCAAAAAAATTTTTAACATCTTATGTATGTGATTTTTGAAGTTTCAAAAAATTGTTTTCATACATAATCACAAGTTTTGTGAAAACTTCAATTTTCAATAATTAATCATTCATTGATACCTACTTTTGGGTCAATTTTCATGCTTATCCTGCTATGGCCTTTAAAAATTCTATTATATCCTTCAAATAACTTTAAATTAACCAACTTACGGTGAAACTCTGTTATTGTTATATTCAGATTCCATAAAGTTAAATTTTGTGAGAGTGTTCCTTGATGGAAGTACTTCATTAACTGGAAATGCCTAGTCAAAAATTAAAAAGTTCTATTAATACTAACCCAGCAGAAGAAATAGAAAATTACTAAGCTGTATTTTAATATGTTTTTAAAATTTAAATGAACAACCTTTTCATTTTTTATGATTTCTGCATCTTCAATATCATTTCTGTTTATATCTACTTCATTTCTCCCATTTCTTTCAGGACTTCTGAGCATTTAATGATTTAATTTTGTTAAAAATTTTACTAATTATTATATTAAGTTTATAATTTATATACTTACAATGTAGAAGATGGCATTAATGGTTTTGATGGTTTTGCTATTACAAAATAATAAAAATTATTTTTAATTTCATAATTATTTCAAAACGTTCAGAAAGAAAATTGTAGCACAACAATACCAGAATATTCAGATTCAGAAACTAACTCTACATAAGAAATAGGAAATATTCCAGTTTTTCCATTCATATTTCCTTCATACCAATTGCTATCCACCTCTCTTATTAAAGATACCATATCATCCTGAAAAATCAATATATATTTGTTAATTTAAATATTTAATTTGAATATTTTTGTTTTAAGTATTGAATAAAACTCTTACTTTATACAAAGTCAATTCAACTTGATTTTTGGCAATAAAATCAAATTTTGCACGTGCCCATCCTTTGATGTATTTTTTTGATAACCTCTGTGAAGATTTTGATGAAACTGGCTACAAGGGGAAAAAAGCATGAAAGTATGTAAAAAAGGCAATGCATCTCCTTAAAAGTAGACAATACTACACAATTTGCTTATACCTCAGCATAACTGACTGGAAAAATGCCAGTTTTTCCATCAATTTTTCCTTCATACCAGTTTTTATCTATTCTCCTCTGAATATTAACAACATCACCTTTCTTCAAAGAGAGTTCTCTATACAGAAAAAAACAATAAATATTTTAGTTTTACAACAGCAGTTTAATCAATGGTATTATAAAAAATGATTACCTTGATGATTGTGCAATAAAATCATATAAAATAACAACCTTATTTGGAGAAACAGGTACATTTTGTAATGAAAGTGAACTATTTCCAATTGGTGATTTGCTTGGAGACTGCCTACAAAGTTATTAAAAACTGGTAAGAAAGTTTACTATTGAGAAATATCAGTAATCTCTAAATTATTCTAGTAGAAAAGCTTAATATATACAGTAGACTATATTTTTACAGCCAAATTAATTTCTGGACAACATTATAAATCAAATCAAATCAGACCTTCAATACATTGAGTCTAAAGACTCAATGTACTGAGTCTTTAGACTCAATGTATTGAAGACCTTCAATACATTGTTCTCAATGTATTGAAGGTCTGTTTCTGAAAATACTGTTTTTTGTTGTTGTTTTTGGCCACTCTAGTGTGGTATTACATAATATGATTGTATGAAATGTTTTCTTTATAAGAGAAAATTTATACTAATTATAAAAGCTGAAAGCCTTACAATAAGCATTCATAAAGTAGTAATCTATTATATATTCAAAAAATAATATTTTATGATAAAATTTTTTAAATTAGATTATGATAAGAATTTGATTTAGTCATGTTATAGAATCAAAAAAGATTAAATAAATAAACAATTCTTTATTAAAATGTATTTGATTTATTAACACTATGAATTTATCAAACATATTTTAATACCCTAATGAATAAGTAGATGTCTAGATCAATATTTTCCAATTACTGTGTATTGATGATGAATGAAACAGGAAAAAATCTGATTCAATAAGCAATTTTATTTTTCCTGTTGAAACTACTTGCACTGCTTAAAATATGCAGAAGCAGTCTCCACTTGACTTTGCCTCCCTCTACATCAAACACAAACTGATAACTTTGATTCATTTTGTCTCTCTATGATCCATTTACTTATTGCAATTTATTTATTTTATCATAAATATTTTTCTGTTATTTAAGAAATACAGAATTTTATTCTCCTAATGTAGGAATTTCATTACAAGTACTAAATGCTATTTAGAGTAAATCAGTTAAAGTAGTGTTTGGACTTATTAAACAATGATAATGAATTAATCTAAATTAATTTCAAATCACCAATGCCATTTGTAGAAATTGATCATTTGAAAATTTGTTACAATAAACCAGTTATGCAGTTGTGTTATCATCCAAACACAACAGACAGACCAATCTCAAAATTTTTCAAAACTGCATACAACTGGTTAAAGTTTAAAAAACAGTGTTAACAACTCTACATTTGCAACGGTTCTAACGGTTCTAAAAATGTCAGTTTATTATTCAAATTACTCAGAGACTGGTTTTTTGGCTCATTTATTTAAAAAAATAAAATCAGGAAGTTATTATAATTGTCTTAAACTGACTTAAGTCTATAAAATATACTTGAATAGTAACTAACAACAATTTACAGATTAAATACGTTTTTAATACATAATTAAATAATTTAATTTAAGTTTTAATCAGAAATTCACCCAACTCATTAAGGAAATTATGACACTAGGTAATTAATTAATTTTAATAAATTCTTAATAATGACTTAAAATGAATGATTATTTAATTACATTAAATAATTTATATTAAAATCTAATTTTACTTAATTATCATAATTAAAAATATCACTAGATTATTTTCAAGCATACTAATGTGAGAATTTTCTATACCTTATATTATCTTCACATTTATTTAAAATTACATCATCCAACTTGGTAAGAAAATCCTAAAATCAGTATTAAAAGAATTCTATAATAAGAGTATCATTAACAAATCAATACAAGTAACAATAAAACTATTTACATCTTGCAATTTATGTTTACTACTTTCAGGTCTTTTGACATTTTGAACTGGACTATGTAACGGTGATGTGTATCTTTGAGAGTCATCTGTAACAATTTATTTTCTTTTATTTCACATATTTAACAGTAAAGGAAAATCATTCAATTTGTAAGTTATTTAGTTATTTTACATTAAGAATATTAACCATCTTGACTGTAGTTTTATATGCATAAAAATGGCATAGCTATTGGACAAGTTAGGAAGTTTTAAAAATGGCAGTTAAAATTATATCTACTATTATAAAGTTATACTTTATTTCACATTATAAAATAATAAATTATTATACTATTATATTTTTGAGGTCTCAAATGCTTGGAAGCCCAGTTTTCAAAAACATCTTAAAATTTGAATATAAAT